TTAAACAAGCAAACATTATCTACACTTCATAAAAATGATATAAAGTTCCAATCATATCTCAATTCAACAATACCTGACCTGTTCAATATATTTTCAAAAACTGTCCCTTCATCGCGTCATTGTCTTGCCTCCAGTCATTTCACCCCCGCCTGCCCATAGTTTACAGGGGTGACAAGATAATAACAGTCAAGGATAATCAGTATAAAACACACCTGGGGCCCGTTCACTGTGGTTTTGACAAAGGAGTTTTAAGTTTTTATTTCAGGAAGTGCAGGTTTAAATGCAAAATCCTGGCATTAATCTACAAGTTATTCTATCAGCACTTTGATTCTTTGGTACATCTACTAGTACAGAGAAATCACACTGGGTACTGCAATCAAGCCTCTACTTCCTAAACTTTTTATTCTCTCAAAAACAGAACTTTTGCTAAAACCATACTGAATTTGGCCCTAGACCTAGCCACCAATTGAAAAGGTGACAGATAATTGGAAAAGCACTAGAAGTGCCTGGTACCAGTTCATCTATGGCAGGACTGTGAATTGTTAAACATTTCTTTAATATTAAACATGCACTTCAACCAATATTCAAGATTCAAGGCAGTGACTTTATAAAGAGACCTGAAGTTATTGGAAGGCGTGTCAGAAAGAAGACTAAATTACATATAATTGGGCCAAATTGGATAATGGATTCTAAAAAAAATTGATCAGATGTTAAAAATCCCAAGAGATATCTGATGAGATCATGCAGCATTAATTGCAATCTTGTGGTGAAAGTAGTTCAACTTCACAGACTTAAGCGAACTTAACAAAAGAGGCAACCATTATCATGCTACCTCCTGCCACACCCACATTCAAATTCAAGTTCACAATGTTTTCAAGTTTGCAAAAAGCCAAAGTGCATGAACCATCCTTCATTCCTGGCAGTCAACCTAACTAAAATATATAACTTCCAGCAAAATACCAAGGCTTAAACTGCATCTTACGTATTATACACCACCCATACATGACAGTCATATTTTCATGTCTACAAATGCAAGTGTCAAACTCAAGAGCACCACGTTCTTCTTGCTCTCACAATTAACTGCATACATTCCATGCAAATGTCAAACTATACTGTACTTATGTTACAAGAAGCTAAACGAAACCACAAACAGTTGTCACTGAACAATTTAGTGCACATGCTAACTAAGGGCCAGACCTTACCGGATTGTCAACCCATCAGACGTCACATGACAATCCATTCAAATTGAGATCTATTTAACCCCCAAACTTGTGTACAAAGTGTACAGATATGTTAATGCTAACATTCAAACTCTCTTGAGATAAAAATCAAAACAAATTACTTCTCTAGATAAATTCCTTGTGGACTCACCAGGTCAACCAAACACACCCAGGTAAATTCACAGGTAAATTCTAAACCATATATATAAACTCCAGCATATAGTTTCACCAGGTGAACAGATTCCTCACACAGGTATTTCTATGACTTCTGTCATAGGTATTCCTCTCGGGTGTCACAGGTGGGATGTTCGCTTCACAGAGTCTGTAGGCATGTGAGAAGCCCTTTAAGTTCACATGATCAATTAAATATGCCATGTGCAGTCGGAGCAGCTATTATACAATGCCTGACATGCAAGCAGAGCATAAAGGAAAGTTTACACGTTCAGAAATGACTTGGGATCAAATCGAGTACTTCATGGTGGTAAAATGAACAGTATGTAACAAAAAAAAAAAAAAAAAACTTCCATGTAAAACTTTTGTGATGAGGAAGCAGTGCTCGATGTAAAGTGACAGAGCATAATCCACAGCACCAGCATGAGAGTTCTGTTTTCTGTGTCAAACCAAGTTGTCCATGATAAAAAAATCACTGCATAACATCGCAGAGAACCTTTAACTTTTATAGACTGCATGGTGCATTAAAATACTACAGGAACTTTATATAGGGATAAAAGGGACCTACATTTCAGTTATGACGCATAACCAGGGAACATGGACAATAACGAAAAAACACATTAGAAAACAAGAAAAATTAGAAAACAATGCCATACAATCCAATCTCAACACTTAAGCTATTCCAGGTACTACTAAGTCCTTATAGGAAATGGGCCACTGAAAAAAAAAAAAAAGAAGATAACAAATAAAATGCTGTTTATGCAAACCTTCATGAATTCCTTACAAACTAAAAGAATCTTCTATGAAAGATGTAAAACTGTTTTCAATCCATTTGGCTATTACACCTACTGGAGTCTTCCACCATCTATCAACACTGCAGCTATTAGTAACTTCAGAATACAGGAAAAACTGTCATCAAGACAGAGAGAAGACTGTCAATATCTCCCACCAAGAAAGCGTGCTTTGGAGCTAGCTGTCTAATAAGAGAGAAGTCACAACACGCAACATTTCTCCAGACAACACATAGCTTTGTGTTTGCTCCAGGGTGGTAATCATGCTATGCATGCATGTTGGTTTTGAAATGTTGATATCCACGCACTAGTATGATCTGCTTTTCTTTCTTTCTTTTCTTTTTTTTTTTGCCAAGAGACAAATCTGGAACATGGGAAAATACGCAAGGGGGGGGGGGGGGGGGGGTCTGAAAGGGTCCACTCTGAATCAAAATTAGACCTTGGTTTTTGCCTTTTCTCAAATTGGGACAACCAAGGAGGGGGGGGGGGAGTGGGGGAGATGTACTTTTTCAGAAAAAGAACCCTGCTTAACAGACCTAGCTGCCTGAACAGAAAGTAAGAAAGAAAGGACAAGCCAAACTTGGTAAGTGAAGTGCTGAAGGAGTTGTAAAATGGCAAGAAACCCGAAAGTTTGCTGATAGGGGAGTGTTGGACTTGCACCCTTCCTTACTGTTTACAGGTGGACCCATATGGTATGCTGTTATCTTAAGCCATGACAAATACATATGATGTAACCATGCTTACTATTTGGGGTCAGCACATGCAAACTTATCCCTCTAACGTTTAACCAAGACAAGAAGGTATTATCTTCTACTCAGGTATAGCCTGACTCTGCCAGCAAGAGATGATACGTTATGTGTGACAGGTGTCATAAGGATACGGGGTCTGAAGAGGTATCATGTCTAATGCAACAATAACAACAACAATGGTGACAGCAATCTGGCATCCATCTTTTTAAAGGCATTGAAAGCCCTTATTATCGTCCAGATACCAAAAATCAGGTTTTTCCTGCAAGTAATTACTCAATAATGCATCCATTTTTGTGGTGATTTAAAACAATAAAGATCCCTTCAAAAATAGCGGCATTTATATGTATCGTTACACTGTTTAAGCATAGGCAACTCAAAGCTTTAATCATCAATTTTACACCTTTCTATTAAGAGGTGAGATAGCAATCGTTATGGAGCATAACATCATCCCTGAACAAGATTTTATCATGAAAATTGGCATGGTTGACCACGAGTGTACAGACTACAATCCCTTGCCGTCATTTTGGTTTAAATGTTTTTATAATGGAGTTCTGAACCCCTATGAACTAACCAATAAAAACAAAAACATACCAGTAACCACCTTGGCTAAGGTAATAAAACATCAAATAAACAAATGATTTTTTATACAGTAATATAAGTAATTACAAATAAAAAAAATAGATAAATAGATTAGAGCAAAACAAGTTTCCAATTAAAACCAACTTGGCCAGGGGAACTGTAAGTGCGCTTGTTTCTCAGGTGGAGAGCAGCACAGTCACAACAAGGGGTGGGGCTCTTTTTAATGTCCAATTCCTTCCTGAAGTTATCACAAGATAAGGATGTATCTTTGCCTCAAGGATGGGTTTTATGCTATATGTAGGTGGCCTTGAACAGATAGAGATGAAATCTTTTAGTCCAAGTTGCAAGAAATTGTATAATATGCCTCATCACAAATGTTTTCCTATTAAAAAATACCTGCACCACATGGTTCAGCCTTAAAGTTTGTAAACTGCAGTCCTGAAAGAAAGGAGAAGAAAAAAAGGCTGGGGCAAAGTTGACTGATGCTTTAGCTTCAGATACAAGGTACACGCCCGTAGCCAGCAATTTTAGAGGGGGGGTTCTTTTTCTGAAAAAGTGGACTTTTTACCATAAAATCCTCAAGTACATGAATCAAATTGTACCCAGAGTGGACCTTTTCCCAGCAAAAAGGGTGGTTCTTTCGAACCCCCCCGAACCCCCCTTGGCTACGGGCCTGAGGTATACTCTAGACTACCTGGATTCAACACTGGAAACTGGGTATCTCTGCTCCAAGCAATGACAGTCAAAGTTTACTTAAAACAGGCTGGGCAAAAACTATCCCCTGTGGCTACTGGACCATTGGATGGCTGTGTTTCCAGTCAAGTTTTGACCAACTAAGTAAATCCTTTCTTGACAAACTGCATGAATATGCCTTCCAACCACAGGAAGCAAATCTCAAGCAAGTCTTACCTTTACAGTAGTAGGTGGGCCAAAAGAAGGAGACCTTAACACATACATCTGTTTAAAAGACTGAGATAATACAAATAAGTTTAAGCCAGTCCAATTTAAATATAAATGCACCTTACAAGTATTAGCTATGAGTCATAGAAAAATGAGCCTCAGGCATATTAAAGACAGACATAATTTGGCATAATCTGTGGAATGCAATAATCATGTCGCATGCAAGTTATTGAATAAGGATATTGTGAAGATGATATATGAGCATCCAGTATATTACTATTATATACTGCAACAGCAAAATATACTGACTCTGAAATACCATTATAAAAAGGTATATTTTTAATATTAATTTCAGGAACCAAAATATATGTATTTGACTATTCATCTACTTCCCATTCTAAAAGGCTTCTAGGCTGACAAACTAAATGGGACAACTGCTATTCGACTGTAGGGGGGGGGGGGGGGAGTAGCTCAAGAAGGTGAACTAGAAAGAGTGTACAGAGTGAAAAAGCAGTAGTTTTCCTTAGATGGCACGTCACTTTGTTTCATTCATAAAACAAACTGGAAATTTATATATACATCCAACTCACCTTTCTTCGAATGAAAACCAGTTCTAGGATAATATCTGAAATTAGAAAAGAAATATATGGAAGTTATACTTTTTTTTGATAAGAATTCTGAAGTAGTTTTGTATATATATATATATATATATATATATATATATATATATATATATATATATATATATATATATATGTCAACCAAATATAAGTGAACAACAATTGGTTCATATCATGACTGAAATGTATTTTTTACCATTTAATTTCATCTTAGTATTCTAGCAATGCTATAACCGTAATGGCATTTAACCAAGTGCATACAAATGGGAGAAAATACACTAAGTACTTTATAATATTATGTAAATTTGCCTTAAATGTCACATGATTTGTATTAACATCACATGCCCTTTCATTAAGTTCTTATCACATGTAATGTGGACTCAGGACATTTATAATGACTTTTCAGACAAGGAAGGGTAACTACTATCATTTACATCTATAGATATACCTGCAATTATGGGATGAGTGAAATATGGGAATTATCATATGTTGGCTAATTAAGAGAGAGAGAGAGAGAGAGAGAGTCTCAGTGCTTTTGTGTGCACTTAATTCAAAACATCTCAAAATTAAAATGTCCACCCCTATAGTGAAAAGACTTGTAAAATATTATTTTCTATCCCAAATTTAAGGCACGTTTGTTTTCTTAATTGCTAATTACAAGAAACTACCACATTTAAGGTGCTTTTCTAAACAGGGCAAACAGGTGGTGTGGTATTTTACATGCAGTTCTCCTGCAGAACAAAGACCTTTACAATACCAGTCATAGCAAATTAAAACATTAAATCACACTTTGCACTGTACAGGGTGAATGCCAACACCCCTAAAACTCATTAAACTTATATTTTCACCTTTGTTTCAACTTTTGGTTTGTAGATTAATTTTACCCCCAGAGGCTCTATATGGGGCATGTCCACACTGGGAGTGAGTCTATGGCCGCATTCACAACCAAAGTTGATCCGCAGTCTTAGAGATCAACTTTCTCTGAATGCACTCTATTAAGACCGTTTGTTGCACCACAGAAGCAAACATTCTGATTGCTCTCTTACTGGTACTACCACATTACTATAGCTAATACTGACATTAAAGAGAGCTGACATTTCTTAGTAGATAATTGGCTGCATTTTAACCAAAATTTATCTGCAGATCAACTAGTTAGTATGAATGTGGCCATTGACTGCAAATGTATCTGACACACCAATGAGTTGTAAATAACATCCAGGCACTAACTCTGATAAAATGTACATATTTCCTATTTATAGAAATAGTAATTGTCTGCCATTATCACAATAGTAACCCCTTTACAACCTTGACTTCCTACAGTCTGATGCAGACATCCAAAAGCTAATTAACACAATTTATAAAGGAGACTTTTCTTAATTAGAGATATCCCCAAGCACACAACAAATGTTACTTCAGAAACCTGGGAACAAAGGGATCAGAGGCGTATATCAATTGACCCTGTAGAGGCAATAAATAACAAAGAGGAAACAACAAAAGCAATAAGTAAATCAAATCAATAAATCCAATTAAAGGTTAACACACAACATCTAACATAAAAGCATGATCAATGGCAGTTGGAGACTACTCCGTAAGGGAGCTACCAAACTGATGTTTATTCATACAGTAGGCAGCAAATATTGACTGGCTACTTCAATTTCTATTGTGGTTAAATTTACTAAGTTGAGAAGTTTCTCTGTGCGCAGAGACTTCATTCAACAAAATGGACTTGAAGGGGAATACCTATCACATGCACTGCATATATGCAGTTTCCGACTTTAACTGAAGAGGAGGCAAATGTACACTGAATACAGAATCCTTTATTCTCTTTAATTTCTTACTTACATACTCTCACTTCTGGTCTACTGACACAGTCATTTTTATTGAGAGTTAGAAATTGTATCTACAGTAAAAAATCCACAGAAACTGATCCCTGGATTGGAGTAAGGCACATGGGAAGAAAAAAGGGCGTTTGCTTATTTTGGCATGCCTGTGTGAAATACAAACTGTAAATAAATAATTAACGCAATTCCCATCATATCATACTGCATAACTGATCCATGGGCAAATTGCATGCTATCTACGTGACTGCACAATGTCACCTAGGTCACACGCCTAAAATTGTCTGGAATAGGCTTCATGAAATGACTTTAGGTTTTAAGCCAGTCTAAACTTGAACAGTGGATTTTTTTTCTATTACGAATCAGAAAAATCCATGGCAGTTCATTAAAGTAAAATAAATACTGCCTGCTTTTAGAAAACACAAGCCATTTTGTCCTTGCTATAAATAGTGCAGTTATTTATAATAATCTAATAGATGGCTGTATATTCATCTTAGGTACATGTAGGCAAAAATGTTAGTGTTAAAGATAAGACCATCTTTCACTTCTGTCTTGAGGTTTATTTAATTTGTGGAAACGCGCCCCTGGAAACACACCTGACACCACCGTCACAGCTGTAGACTCTAGACTGCAAACTTGGCAGACTTCTCCACTGGTTCATGTACATACAGTAAATAAACTGATGGAGTTAAAAATTTTACCAACACCAGGTCTTAGACACATTCTCCACTTTGACACACTTTTTAACCTCCATCCCTTTTCTCTTCCATTTTGCTTCTTCAAACAGATAAATTGAAGTTTCTTTTTCATTTAAATCTAACAACCCCCTTTGACAACATCTAAGTCAGCATCATCGTGTAAATATATATTATAATTCTGAAGACATGCCACACAATCATACAGAATTTAGGATAATATTTCTTAGAAATATCTGACCATTCTTTTAAACGGTTTCTTGAAATAAATACACCATAGAGGTGCAGACACACCCTCCTCCCTGCATTGGGAGTGGATAGGTGGGTCTTTTAAAAACCTTAAAATAAATGGCCCATACTTGGCGAATTTGGCAAAGCACTGGCTAGTGGTCAACTGCTTCCTCTGCTCCTTGTCCAAGGCATGACTGGTCAGTCCAGGTTGTCAATAAGGTGGACCAAACTGTCACCAAAAAACTCCTCCCTTGTACCTACTTTAAACCAGGTCCTAAATGAAAAACATTCACACCTCTACCTGATAAAGAATGCCTTCAAATATCTATACCCACACAGACCCTTGCAATAGATACTTAAGCGTCGACAGAATACGAAGAATTGATTTATCTTACCATTCTTTCCAACGATAACCAGTTCTGAGCTATAAATATCTTTCTGTGAACTGGGCGATTCACTTCACGCGGTGCTCTATTTAACAACTATCAATACTTCACCAACCCATACAGCATTGCTCCTAAGCTGATATCACCTTTATTTACCACTTTATCTTTCTGCTGATCTTGGTTTATGCTCTATGCAAGTTTTCTATATGCTGTGGACAATTGAAATCTTGCCTGGTTGATAGTGCAACAAAGTAGGGCAGTTTTGTGAATGATGGCCACTATTGTGCAAGTTAGCAAGGAATGTAATGTTGACAAAGGACAATCTGTAACAACACAACTGGGGTAATTTTTACTGTGCATACCTCTATATTCAGTTGTGTATAATTTCCATCTGCTTGCACATATATGTCCATATTTAGAAGTCACGTCTCCTTGAATACTAGTTAACTGAAAGAAGTCTAACAAGTGCATAATTGAGAAGATGATGCTTCTTTCATCTTCTTTCATTCTCTTTCTTCTACTTTCATGAACTTGAAACTCTAACTTGGAGATACCTATTGGCCACTTTCACAATGATTAACACCAGGGCACTGTTACTCGACCTAGCGCAAGCATCTCGATTCCATAACTCGCCCATACTCGCCCCAAATAAATACACGCAATGCTTTCGAGTTACGGGGCCCAGTCCTGTTTCAATACAACTACCATGTCCCCTATTACCCTTTAATTCATGAATTCAAAAAGTTACCAGTTATCACATACTAGTACTAGTAATTGCACATACTAGTACTTATATATAGTCTGTGAAGTCTGGTTCTCTGTCACAGTTATAAATTCTTATACAATTCTTATGACCGAGCATGAAGTCTGTAGTTATTTTTAGTTCACTATTTATATCCTTTTATGTCTAAGACTGCTGCATTTGGCATAAGACTGATAGCAACAAATATATAGTCTACTAATGTTTGAACAAACCAGGATGTACCTCCCTCTTAAAAAAAAAAAAAAGGAAATTAACAGATGCTGAAATGCTCAGACACAACTGAAAACAAATACAGTATCCACCATTCAGTTTTTAAATCAATGAATATTGTCTATTTTCAAGTCAGTGTTTTAAAGTCCAATTTACCCTAAATATTATTAAATTTTATTTATTTATTTATTTATTTATTTATTTATTGTTATTTCTAATATTGTTTGTTTCTTTGTTTTAAATGAATCTACTATACCAGACTGGGCCGGCAGTGCATGTAGGAGAGTATCTTACATAAATAGACATAGGACAACTGTGATTACTATGCAGTAAATCATAGTAAAACACCCGCTTTCATTTACACCAATGACAACTGCAAATTAATATTAATTAATCATGAGGATTGAACATATATACTCCACAGCCACAGAATGAGTCATGCTGTAGTAGGCAATAGACAAGCCAGCTGCTATGATGAGACCCAATAACACAAGAAATATACAGACTTTGCCTTGGTTCTAAGTTAATTAGTGCTTTAAGTAAGTTCTGCAGTGAGCAATCATGTGTGCTTGTGTGGATGAAAGTGTGTGTGTGTGTGTGCATGTTGGTGAGTGTGCTTGTATGTGTACCAGTGCATGTGTCCATGTGTATGTGTGGAAGGGACAAGAAGAACATTTGTTATTTTCATGTAAATTTACTGTTATAACCAAATTGAATACAAACTGAGTAGTAGTAGAGTACTGTAAATCACCACAAACAGAATAATCCACATTCATTTTTGTCCAATACCATGGCTTACAGAGTGGCAGTGTGGGTGGATGATGAACAGATGTATACAAGAACAGTTATAAATCATTTGACAATCATGATACAATTTAAGCTTACACACTTAAATCTTAATGCTATTCAGTATGGCAATGTAATGGTATAAATTTGCAAATGAACCCCTGGTTTGACTAAAACTTAAAATGTTCTGCTCCCTGGCTAGAACAGACATAAAACTGATAAAATTACGTCTATTAAATGAGTGACAGATAGGCTGGCTCTTAAATAGCTTGCATGTACATATAACATTAACTTTCTAGTCCCACAAGACACAGTCCAATTCACGACCCACACCTGGTGCACAGCTAGCATAATGAGGTGGTAAAGAATAGCATTTCTACATTATGCAGCAAACTTGTTTTAGGCTGGTGGCTCACATATACTGATGTGTTAAATCTTATGATAGGATCAATGCTGAGAATTAATAAAATTACACACTGGTAGTAGTGGTAGTGGTGTGTGTGGATGTGTGTGTGTGTGTGTGTGTGTGTGTGTGCTTAAATTAAGGAGAAGGAATTAAATGTCAGGTTCATTTCCAGACTGACTGCAAACCTTTATCAATATACACTTATCCACTTGGTATGTTGACTACAATAGTGATTCCAAGGATGTGGTTGTGGTGTTTATGGGGCTTTGGAGAAAAAGGGGGAGGGGTAATGTGACTCTATAAATAACTAACTAGTACTGGTAGACTACTAGCAGTATGCTTACAGCCTTAGAATAAGAACACCCTAAAAGCACTCAGTCAAAGTACCACTAGTAAACAAATGGGAACTTCACAAGTGGGAGGAGTAGGTGTGATTTATTTGGCAGAGTAACATCAGGTGAAGTTCATCTATCTCTGTTCCAGCCACGACGAAGGCCTGCCTTGATGCTAAGATCACGAATAGCCATCAACCACAACTTTCAGTCTCAGGCACAGCTTCTTCTCAACAAACCCATACAATAATGTATAGTATGATCAAGACCTGTCAGTCTCCGACTTAAAAAAAATCTGACTTGAATATCACTAGTAAACCTACAGTGTAAATGTGATGTGGCAACACTACAGCCAGGTACTGTCAGTGCAGGGGGGGGGGGGGGGATCACCGAGGCATGAACCAAAATTTTAACGGATTTTTTTAATTTAAGTTTAGGAAATATAACTTAATTTTTAAAAGAATGTTATTCTATTTTTAATTGAATATTTTGACTCGTTAATTAAATTAACAAATGACAATAACCTAGTCCTGAACAGTGGATTTAAAGCGGTGACCTAATTATGTCTCTGAAATTTACGACGAGTTATGTCGTTGATCGGAAGTTGACAACTGCTGCCTGAAACTTGAAAGCCACCACCTGTGAATTGCTTCTCAAAAACTTACGCCAACGTTGGAAAAATATTAATTTATGCATCATTCGTAGTTTCCTTGAGAGAAATTATCTAAATAAAGTGTTATTTACCTTCAGATCGTTCCTTTGTGAAATAAAAATGTTGCTGTAGCGAGGTGTAGCGACAACGGACTTCATTCATCAAATATCCCACCCTGGTCACATGACCTCAAAACCCGGTCACATGATCACAGGTGCTGTCAAAATGGCGGATACGTTTTACGCGAACCATGTGTATTGAATCCACCTGGTTGCTATATTTTCCAGTGTTTTAGGGTGACTTTTCGTCCGATCATGGCTCATTCGAATCATATAGATGACATATTTGACGAAGATGCCGATGATATTCTTTTAAGCGAGAAAGAGTGGCAGAATTTGCGCAGAAACAGAGTGAAAGTAGGTAAAATTGTACTACAGCTGTGCCAGTACAATGTAACGCAAATTGTTTATGTAAATTTGTTATATGATAATAACATTTTAAACAGACGCTGCGGTGTGATGGGGTCTTTCGGAAATAATACTTGTGACACAAAAGTCAAAGATGCTGTCTTTAGGTAGGTAGATCACAATCCGCTAGGGGCGCTACAGTCGTAACTGTCCACGGGCAGTGAAGTGTTAAACTGAAGTCGGCCTGCTGACAGTTTGCCTATGGAACCCCTTTTTTAAATCTCTCTTTTAGCGCTGCGTAAAAAAACTAATACAAGCCATTAACTAAATAAGTTGTAAATCAAAGAGTAAAATCCGGTCACATGATTTTCCCATGTTGCAGTCTTTGACAAGTTTCGGTTCTGCTTGTTTTAAGTTTTGCCTCTACAAAATGCTAAAAAATTTCAGGTAAGTGCTGGTATCATCTTTTTGAAATTTATATCCAGCAAAGTTTATGAAATTTGCTATATTATGTAGAAAAATCATGAAATTTGAAGGTTGCGAAGTATAGTTAATTTAATCCGCAATATTACATGATGTGAAAATTACCACAGGGAAATAGCTCTGCCCTGATTAGTCACAGGCTATGTGAGCCAGACAATAGGCTGAGCACACAAAGACACACNCGAAGTATAGTTAATTTAATCCGCAATATTACATGATGTGAAAATTACCACAGGGAAATACATTGTAGCTCTGCCCTGATTAGTCACAGGCTATGTGAGCCAGACAATAGGCTGAGCACACAAAGACACACAGGGTGCTCTGCTGCGCCTGAGTGATCATTGCTGGTCAGTGGGCACAGGTTTTGAGCTGAGAAGTGTGGACACTTTTGGTGGATTTTTGCAGTTAAAAAACTTAAATATCTTTGTTGCTTGTAGGAATATTTAAAAAATTCCAAATGATTTCATCCGGTTTTTGCATTACCTTTCAGATGATATAAGTATTTTAATTTTCTGATCAGTTTGAAAATTTTTCTGATATACCTACTTTAGGTTTTGATTAGCTCTTTACAACTTTAGTATCCAATACGATGTCATAAAATGATAAAGATGTTAGAAGACTGTTGAATATCATTCTAAACCAAATCTTGATAATGACGAATTTCACATTATATATATAATTAAGAGCACAGTGTGATTAAAGTAACAGTATAGAAAAATGTTTTCTAGGCTTGCTTGCCAAAAATACTGGAAAAAGACAATTTGAAATTGTTAAGCATGGACATCTAGGGTAAGTCAATTTAACAGAAAACTGTGTTTTTCAGGATGGATATCGTGAGGGGTTAGAAGAAGGCAAAGAATCTCAGCTACAGAGTGGTTTTAACCAAGGGTATGAGGATGCTGTGGACGTGGTTTTCCAAGTAGCAAAGTTAAGAGGATCTTTGTGGTATGTTCCATTTATTTCACATTCTATACGTTTGTATTAGTACCAGCCACATGCCAAATGCCAGTGAAAGTGAAGCTGTACCAGTGGAATTTTGTACTTTATATATATTCAAAAGTGAGCACTGTCTCTGCCAGCTATGGCCAATAGAGTTCTTGGCACAGACTGAAGTAGAGAAAATTTCTGATTTTTTCAAAGTATGAGAATAAGACAATGGATGACCTACAGTAGTCTAACACCATTGGGCTCACTAAGAATTGACAATTTTCACATAAGAGAAAAAAATCTCAGACTGGACTTAGCAAGAAATAAAGCAACAATCTGATGTATTGCAGTAGGTGTCATTTCTCTCTAATGGTGAAATGAGTGTCACTGCAGGCTTGCAATTGGTTTTGCAAATTATGCTTATTTGACTTTGAAATATACTAGAATGCATTTGATACATTAGTGCCTGTAGTGAGGAAATCTGTATTTTTATGTCTCTATCTGTAATAAATCAAGCCTTAAGCACAATATTTAGTTTGTGGTTACAACTCATGCAGTTCTTAATTAGCTTTTAATATTAAAAAGTAAAATATCAGTATGAATCTGCATGATTACATAGCAGACAATAAATTAAAAAAAATTATACGTAAAATTATTTCAAAACCATATGTCATATGATATAGATTATAATTTTATTCAGAACAACATTAGTTTGTTATTTAATGATATATCTTCTGATTTTTTAAGATGCAGGTGACACATATAACTTATGTTACATATTAAGTTACTTTTTGGTTATTAATTGATGTTATATCTTTCTTATAACATGATGCCACGGTTTCTAATTTTTCAGTGCACTGATTTCATACACCATGCTACAGGGAGGGGAGGAACCCCCACACAGTCAGGATGCAGAGAGGATGTCTGCTGCTAAGTGTTTACTTGAGGAAGTCACAGAACTAGAGAGAGAAGTCAAAGAAAATCTTAGAACACTTACTTCAGCTGGTTGTAGACAGTCTGGTGGGCATGAGGGAGATATTATAACAGAGACACACCCCAAAGAAACTGAGTTAGTTATTGCTGAAGAAATGAGAACTGTGGGTGACAATACTGATTTTGAGATAAAACACAAAGTTACTTCTGAAACCACTGGAAGCTCTCGAAAAGAGCCACTTCAGACGGATATTGTGAATAATCTCGAGGAAGAAAATGAAATTAACATACACTGTCAATCTTGTGATTGTGACACCAGACAAAATTCCGGCTGCTGCAGGGACCAAAAAAGGAGTAGCAGCAGCACCTGTGATTGTAGACATAAAAAAGACAAATTAAAACCAGCAATAGTGTCTGCAGTCTTAGACAGCAGCAGTTTATCCACCTCAGTAGACCGTGAAGGTATCCAAGTGCCTGGTTTACATTATTTACATGCTGAGGTGCTCAGACTTGAGGAAGCTTTTGTGAACTTAATGGGAAAATGATGGCCATGAATATTTAGCAATTTATATTGTGTTTAACTGTATCTCTTTGGCCTTTATTAGGAACTTGTGCAAAAGAGAGTTTGTGTATCTAGTCTAAGGAATTGAAAGTATACACAATTATGGAGAAAACTGGAAACTAACTGAAAGATATTAGGAAAAAGATAAGAAATGAAAAAAAAAAATGAATTTAGTTAAGAGGGTGTAGTACATTGAGGTATAAAGAAATAATAATATATACAGGCATTGAAAATCTTGTGCTTTGTTAACTGGAAGTAGATAAACTGTTAATATATTGTCAATACATGAAAGTCAGTTTTATTATTCAGCTTGTTTATGACTAATAAATTTAATGATGTTTACTGTCACAAATTGTTTATTATTACTTCAAAGGTTTTCCGTGATATGGCCGTTTGTTACATCCATTAATTATATGTAGAAAATTTGCCAAGATTTAGATAGTAATTGATTCAGAAATCATTGCATTATTCAATATTAAGTTACGTTAACATCAAGACAAATTGAGAAATGCTGAAATATATGGTTACACCATTGTGACAGTAAAAAAAGCAAAAAAGTAGACTTACCATGAAAGAAGTGATATTGTAGCTAGGTGAATCAAGATATAGACATATAATTAAATCATTGATAAGACCCTCCTTTCAGCATGTGATACTGAGATGAAAGGATGCCTTGTGGATGAAAGCACACGCAATGCCATTGTGTTTTATGCCAGGACACGCTACTATACTTAATGGTTGGCAGCACACAACACTTGAGTATAATTTGCTAGTTGTCTTTGTTAATCTCTTTGTTCAACTAATGATATATTTAGGTAACTAGGTCAAACAAAATAGAATTAAGAGAGCACATGCACAGTAAGTGATACGCTGAAGAAAAGCTGACTATATGTATGCCAAAGAAATAAAGGTGGGGGGGGGGCTTTGAAACCCATTAATTTCAAAATTGAATGTCTCCTGGGGTTTTGGATTTCACATTACAAAGATCTACATCAAGAAAATATAATGTTATGTCTTTTTTCATTAGATCCATTTATAAAAAATTAAGAATGTTTAAATACTAAATGTTTCTACAAAAAAAAAAAAAAAAACTTGACTGTTGAAGGAAATAGCAATCAAAGGGAAGGTTAAAACATGCAAGGAAAGTACCTGGAAAGAAGTATGATACTTAAAAATGAATAGGATCTTGTTTAGTTTTACACAGTTTGCCAGCATAGAATTTGAAATCATGTGCCAGCATAGAAAATAAATTAATAAAGAGTATTTCAAATCATGTTTCTAAAATCCTGATTGCAACAAGTAAAGCACATGTGAAGATATGTTGTGATTGTGTTAGAGGAAATCCAAAATAAACCTTGGCACACCTAACACATTCCTCCTTGACACTGTCACAAGAACAACTGATACAGCCAAGTTTTCAATTCTGGCACTTAGAAAATTCCACAATACTTAGTTTTGGTGCCAAAGTGCAGACACTGTAGGTAAAAAAAAAAAAAAATGGAAGCAAAAACTATTATACTGTTTCAGATGTTTGTATTTCTTATTTTCAAGCAAATTACTATAATTGTGATAAAATATATTTTAATGAAAGTCTACTAGGAAATGTATTGTATCATTAACTGGAATGCAGTTTAATTACAAATTTTATTAGACATAGTTGTAGCAATGTCTTTTTTAAAATTTTGGACATCACAAAAACAACACATTATCTCTCTTAATACATTTATTCAATGTAAAAAATGACTTTAAGCACTGATGCAGTGAGTTAAGGCATGGACTGTAAGTCAAACTACACAATGAGATACAGTTTAACTGTATTTGCACAATAATGACTAAAAAGAACAATATATACATCTTCCAATGCCACTCCACTGCTTTCTCTTCCAATTGTACTTTCCTGGGAATTCATTTTATATACAATACTATTACTAGACAAGGCAGCAAAGCTGTCAAATGTACAGACAAAAAGCAGGAAATAACAAAAAAGGCTACTGTCAATTCTGATGCAAAAGTACATTATGTTAAACTGCAAATTCAACATCAAATTTTAATTATGCTCAACAGGTAAAATACATCTGTGTCTGTACATAAAAACGGCATTTCTTTAAAATAATGGCCCGATTATGCTGATTTTTGAACTCAACCTGCGATTTAGCAGGAATGACCACTCCTGTGAGTTTAATGACAATTGGCCTATCTGTTTTTCTTATATTGTGTTTACAGTGTTGCATATATGCTGAAAAGGGAAAAAAAAAAGCATAACTACTAAAATAGTGGCCCGATCATGCCGATTTTTGAACTTGACCTGCGTTTTAGTAAGATCAATTACTCTGCATTTTAGTCCTGTATTTCTTTTTTGAAAGTTTGACAATCATAAGTAACATGGTTTTCCCATAATGGTCATCTTGGCAGCAGCACCCAAAATTGTGTTTTCTTCTATTCTGATGCAATATTACATAATGGTTAACAGCAAAATGACCGTTAATTTTTAATAATAAAATACACGTATCATGGATTTTCAGAAAATGTGACTAGCATGGGTCTTCAAGCCCGTGGAACATGTTGATTTTCGAACTTGACTTGTGTTATAGTAAGATCAATTACTCCTGTGATTTTCATGACAACAGGCCTATCGGTTTTCCTTAAAATGTGTTTACAGTGTTGCATATATGCTGAAAAGTGAAAAAACAGCATAACTTCTACAATAATGGCCCGATCATGCTGATTTTTTAACTTGACCTGCGTTTTATGAATATTCATCAGCTCTGTAAATATTAAGCCAAAAAGTAAAACTGCCCTCCACTTATCGTGTTTACAAGGAAAGTGCACGGCGCCGGCATCGGCATCGGCGACGGCGACGGCGACGACAGACGCAGGTGATGGCAATATGTACAGACACATCTGTGTCTGTACATAAAAAATCATAAAACTTGTACAGCCATTCAAATGCATCGTATAAACAGATGTAAGTTCACCTGGTTTCATAAGCTGTCAATCTTTATATAGTATTGTTCCAGCTTGTAACTTGTTATCATTAACCAGACTATGAGTGTATCTAAAATCTTTCTTCCAACCCCTTAAAATACATGAAATCATAAAATATTCAGACTGATCAATTCAAGTACAAATGAAAATTATCTTATTGATACTAAAATGTTCACTTATAAAATGAGATCAAAACATGAAAATACTGATATTTTAAACAAAATCCACTAATAACCTAAACAACTGTGTTAAAACCATAAGCCTCTCTTTTATTGAATGAGCATTAATATTTGGAAGATGATCTTCTTATAAATTTAACTAGTCAAGGTAAATTGCTGTAATCGTTATAGGCCCCATTCAGGATAGGGGACCAACTAGTTCGAGGGCCAAATATGGCCGACCCACTTGAATACTTCCCCAAGGGAAATCTATTCATTGTCTATTAGCCGATTAGACGGCATGCTTTGAAGTGGGTCGCCATATTTGATCCTCGAACTAGTAAGTCCCCTATTCTGAATGGGGCCATAGAGAAGATTAAGTCTTGGATCAGATGTATGCCATAAAGAGAACAATTTACAGATTCACTAATAAAAATGTATACAGATTCCTGTACACAGTTCAGCAGCTACCGGTTTCAAGTATGGGCTCTTTGCTCACTAAACGTACATTGTTTTTGCAACTGCTCGCAAATTGGACATGTCTGCTTTATTCCAATGCTTTTTTTTTCTTTCAGGGTCAACATTTTATATTGCACACAAAAGCTGTTTATGGCATGCATCCAAATCTCTTTTCAGACTTTCCAAATTTGTCCTTTTATCAAGGTACTACTTCAAAAGAGTTTTGGGGAAAGAAAATTAATATTAGCTTTGTTCAGATTTAGTGCCTGAGAGTGACCATACACAGGTCCAATAACACCCGACACAGTTACCTTCCACATAATAACACTCTTATTCCTCATCAGTTCAGCACTACTTTCTGAACACTGGGATTTACAGCACACCTGGTTCGTGTACAGCTCCAATCCAAATGTGTAAACCCTCTTTCAGATTCATCAATACCTGGCATGTGTTTCTGTGGCACACCGATACTGACCCTTGTAAACATGGGCCAAGCCAATGTTAAACCATTCCCATTAAGAATTGCTTCACATTAAGCATTGGCAAAGCTGGTATTTCCTGTAAAAGCTTTGGCAATTTAAGCCCAGACACAGAGTGCATGTCAATAATTGTGTGGCTAATGTGTCACCAACAAACTACTTCCATTTGACAGCAAGTTATTTTTGCCAACATTTCATGTGTTCAGAGGTTTTATACAATGAAGTCAATGTCCCAGAATGATACAATTTTCAGTTTCAACTCCATTATTCAACCTGCAAAAAGTGCCAATGAAAAAAAAAAAAAAATCTACAAATACTTTCACAAGACTCAATCTTATTCATTCTCTCGCTCTCCTTTCAAATACTGAGCTCATATTCATTTATCACCGCAGTTTCTCACCACCTAAATACTTGTGACATCTACTTATTTCTACTTAGTCAATATATGGATGGAATCCCTTTATCTTCTTGAATCACAGTAAATACCAAGTCAATAAGTCAACAAAGACTTGTAATTTTCTTTCAAACCACTTTTCATCCAGCACAATCTAATTCCAAAGACTGACACGTTTTCTATTCATATTATCCTGGTTTCATTCATTGCAAGCAGCTATACTTAAGCTAATTTAAAACCAAAGGTATAAAATAGTTATCAAATCAATGAAAATATGACTAAAAACATCTCAAAGTGGTTTTATGAACACACTACATACAATATGTGATGAGAAGTCCAATACGTTATATATTTCTTGCCCTTTTTTATTCTAAGACCACCATATTAAGGGTTTGTGTGTTTGTATGAATTCACTTGCAGAAAGGCATGGCTAGCAGCAAATCAATAAGTCAGTTAATTGGGAAATACCTCTCCATTTCTCCATGTTCTTTTGCCCCTTTTCATCACACAGTAATAGGAATCAAGAGCCATTTCAATTGAGCGTTTATATGAAAAGCTCTCTGCACTGTGGGAGGAATTTCACTGGAACACAGTCTCTGACTAGATTAGCTCTCCCTGTGACAAGATATCATCTCCCAGTTCTGTTAGTATTTGCCTTTGACTGGACATTTTGAATGCCCGCAGTTTCTCATATTTCATTGTTGTTTGACATCAAATGACCCATTTTCTTCTGTGACAAGTTTCACTTGTTTATTTTAGAAAATGAACATGTCTGTGACTGGGTATTCCTTGAAGTCAACTTTTATTGCCGTTCATTTTCATTCTAGTTCAGTTTTTGCTTCATATAACCAGTTGTGTTCACATTATATCAAATGAAAACCACACAAGAAGTACATGTGGTTTTGACTGGTCTCTCTTTGATGTATGCTTTTTGGCTCTTGCCTCATTTTCATCTGAATCATTCCAAGATTCCTCTGCTTGACTTTCAAACTGATGTCTGCATGAGAACATAATCAAGAAGGAATTGCCTCCTTTAGAAGAAATGGACATTACCCCATACGTGTTTACCATCAACTGTGCAATTCAAGGTCAGTTGGGTCTGGGGTACATGGATTGCAGGGAAATACTTCCTCCCTGAGGGCAATATTCCCCCAATACAGCTCAGTGTGAACACAGCAATCTTTGACTCATCCCTGATTGGTCACTTCAAAAACACATGACATCTATCATGAACTTCCATCTTTGACCCTATTATTGACACAGTGAAGTTTACTGATTGGTCAACCTTCAACCTGACATCATTGTGACCTTTCAACTTTGACCTTCAGGAGCCACCTGTGTCAGTGTGGTATTGGCACTCTCAATGTCAGGGGTCATCCCGAAAGGCCGATCTTGTTCCGACTTATTGGTCAGTTCAAGGTTGGTCACTCCATATGGCGGATGGTCATCATCACTGGTCAGTTTGTGTGTTGTGGGAGACATTTTTGGGTGGATGTGATCTATAATGCTCTGGAAACAAAGATCAAAATGTGTAAATAAAGAATAAGAATTTTCAGTGACCATAGTCGACATAATGTATCACAGGTTCCACCAACACGTTAAAAAAACCTGAAGTGCTCTGTACAGACATGCATCACCCTTATAATCCTTTCAAAGAAATATAAGTACTAAGTATTAAATATTTCTTTGTTTAAAGATTTCTTAATCCTATCCTGAAAAAGGTGTAAGACAAATTTAGCACCTTTAAAATTTGTATTTGTTTCAGACAATTTACCCGAGATATGACATCCCCATTGCTGCGTCGTATCTGGTACAAGTGGCGGTACCTGGTGTTGGGATCTTCCTCAGAGCGATATTCTTTCTCCCGGGAACGAATCTTTTGGAGGTTTACTTTCCTATGTTTCTTTGATCTTATTTTCACTGTAATAATTAATGGGCATGATCAATTTACTTAAAATACCTCCCTTGCTCAACAATTAATTGTAATTGTGTATTAGATCAGTTTATTCCTATACACTTCACTTTTACTGCCTTCCATCTCATTCCACAATTAAAATATAAGTCACTGGTATGCAGCTTACACTTAAGCATTAATTTTCTACTTTCATCATTATAACTGATTGCATTTCAAAATGTAAAATATAAATGCAAAATTCAAATAAGCAAATTAAAAGAAAATTTTATCATTCCTTGTAATACAAAAAATCTGTCCCACAGTACCTATGCCATTAGATACATATAAGTATGCAAATGAAAATGACATTTATCAAAAATCTCCTGTGCTATTTTAACCAACTAACACTAGTGTCTTCACACATGACATAACAGATGAAAGATAGCATTTACTATCAAAACCCTCTTAAAATTGACATTTACGTCCCAAGTTTACATTTCCCTCAAAAACTGTCCGGGCAGATTTAATGTATTGACTAAAATGTTTTTCATAAGGCAGTGGGCGAGACTTTGGCCATATTCACACATCTCCTTGATCTAGAGACAGCTCAACCCAGTGGTCCTTATGATTTATTTTGTCAGATATCATTATTGCAGTAGTCTATGGCGTCCCCTCCCCTTAACTCATCTCTCTCTCTCTCGCACTCTCTCTCTCTCTCTTTCACACACATGCACGCACGCACACGCACACACACCAGGCTAAAAGCCATCTCCAATATGCCATGCTGTGTACGTACTGCCTGTCATTGAGACCATTTCAGACACAATCCATCAAGGCTTTATGTGAACATACTCTCACCAAATGGGGTGAGAGACACCGGAGATGAAGGCTATTTTAGCTTTGGCAATCAGAGCTGGAATTGATGTAATCTGCCTCAAAGAGACAAATAACTTGACATCTAAGTGACTGGTAGTTTGCCTTAATGTCTTCATATCCCTGAGATTGACTTTCCAGAAATTGCTTTGATCTTCAGAAGAGAAGGGATAATTAGTGTGTGTGTGTGTGTGTGTGTGCGTGCATGCGTGTTCCTTACGCCATATATAAGACAGCCTAAGAGGAAATAAAGAACCTTTCTCCACTTCTCATCATCCTCACTCTTTTCACCCAGTCTATCTCTCTCATTCTCTCTCCACATAAGCTTGCTTCCCACCACTGAATTTCTAGTTAAGTCATCACCTAACTCTGCAAGTTCAAAATAACAGCATGTACTTAAAGATCTTTGAAAAATCAGGCTTAAATCTCATTTGTGCCTCTTCAACAACATTCACGCCTGACCATGATACTTACCATCCCTGTGATCACAGCCCTTTGATGTCAGCTTCCACTGTATCACCACACCCAACACAAATATCAGCAGCCATACGCCTGCAATAACCCAGCTGAACCAGCAGAGCCTGTCTTGAGCTTCTGGCTCCACCTTCAGGACATTTAATATATGCATTGACATGATGAACAGTTCAGCATAATAATCCAAGCAGATAAACATCAGAGCACCTCCGAATAACGAAGTCCCTAAAACTGTCATGGATTTTTGGAATTTTAGCGCTAACAGAGCAAACACCACTCCAAGAATGAATAAAACTCCAATACTAATCCATTTCGTGGACGGATGGTAGAAAAGTTCTAAAATGACTAGAAATATTGTTGCGAGGAATAATCCGAAGGTAAATCCTGTCGCAAAGAGTCCTACGTATTGTACTAGCATAGTAATGAGTCCAAGAAGTACCCCTACACCCACGGCAATCCCAGCGTTTGCCTCGGTAGGTAACTGACTGTGCTCATCCAGGAGAACATACGTTAATACACTGCCGAATATGAACCCTGTCATGAACATGATGGCCTTGAAGAAACGGTAACCTGAAAGTTGAAAACATACACTATGATATCTTTAAAACATTTTCATGTGTGCTAGCATGTTACTTTTAAATTCAATAAATGGACCTTTAAAGAAGTATGTTTTAACAAATCAAGTTTTTCGAATTTTAATGGGGAAAATTTAATAAAACTTACCTAGAAATGCATACAGGACCCCAAACACAAAACATACAGCACATATCGTGGCTGGAGCTACGTCGTACTTGTAGACAATATCACATCTATTGACGACCAAGGGAGGGTCCTCACTGACCGTTGTCAGTGCTGGGGTCATCTGGGAGGTCAACTGCGACAAATATGGTAGGTCGCTGGTATTGGGACCCGAAGGCGTGCTGATCATGGAAGCCATCTTTGATAATATATTTTCAACAGACAAATGCTGCACTGTTAATATTAGTCCTTAAATCTGGTGGTGCATTAATTTCTCATCCTGGATATGCGTTGGATATCAAGTAATTACAATTTAGTTCCTCCTCCTTTCTAAGAACTAATACATTTTCATTGCTTAAAATTAAGAAATGTGGATTTTGTTTTCTTCTTCTGAGTCAGTTTTGCATCTTAACTGCAAATGAGTTTAGTTGTATAACTCAGATAGTCTTCTCGTTCTGGAGATTTAATTTTTCATATTTTGTTCTTTCTTTGCAGCTTCCCTGAACCTATGGAAAAATGATACTGTAGGTTAAAAGAAAGTTAAAAATATAAAGCTTTACAAAATTTTCAAAATCACCTTATGGCTATAATCCCAAAAATATATCCTTAACTTTCACCACTGTATGCTTAATGTATTATATGTGCTAATAGCTAACATGTTCTTTATATAGCTAATGCTCATCACCACATTGTGGACACATCTGAAATTGAGTTCACTGTGGTAATTCATTAATTTTTTGTCTCTGTATTAAGAACACTTAACATTACCTTTAAACAAAATGAAAGTAACGGAATAAAATCAAGTTATTCTGCTAGTAAATTATAAAACTAAATCGATGCCATGATGCAGCATTTAAATTTTACAGCAATTTTTTTTGACAATTTCATTATTTGACTACTGAATATTTGACTACTTCTTTTGCCATTGTGAACATGTCCATTTTAACAGTTACTGCTGTAAAAATACCTTCTCTTCTCACACAGTTACCTTTAACGTGTATATTTCAAATCGATGATAACACAGAGTTGACATATATCTGGGTCATTCCCCACCATCCCTATCAGTCAGCACACCTCTGACATATATATTGAAACTTTATATCATAACTGAGAACAGGTTGTTTAAGTACAAGTCATGTCCTTGTTATAAATGTAATGACACATTCTAAAACTAATATATATTTAATATATATCTAAACTAAACCAATGAGGGATGAACCACAACATGGCCAACCCTCTCCCGATTTATGAGACAGCGCACCTTTGGCATTAAATCGTTACTGTACCTAACAGTAATATCATGGTGTAAATATATAATACACATCATCATTATTGGAGTTTAGTTTCAGGACACTCACTGCACCAACATATTCTATGTACCACTAGGAGTGCTATTTAATAGACACAAATTTAGTTACTGTGCTTGAAACTTCAATTTCCTTACTCAACTAATCTGTGACAGTGCTTTCATCAGATACCATCATATCACTATAATAACATGTTTAGTAATTGCCAGGAGTGTTGTTTAAATGTGAGTGGTAGCAGCATGTGTCCTCAAGTTTGCACTTACTCATTGTCGCATATTTTCAATTTTACACTTCCACTGGGGACACACCAATACACTATACTCTTTCGATTTCTCTCTCTCTCTCTTCCTCTCTCTCTCTCTCTTTCAATCCAACCAACACTAGTAAAATTTTGTGAGAAATTGACAGATCTGTCCTCTATATATGTGGACAGATATCAAAGAAAACAACATTATCACCATTAAAGATAATAATATACAAAAAAAGTTAAATATAGCTACTGTAAAACATTCTTGCTATCCAGATAAATTTTGGCTGTTATGATATCTTCAGACATCAAATCATATCTGTCAACATTTTCCGTTATCTCACTGTAATACCTCCTGGCACCAGCTATCAAAAAGATAACTACATAAAGCAGCTAACTTCAAATACTTCAACCTACTAGTACACCATCATATATCGCTGATAAAATAAACAGCTTGGCAGTTAGATTTCAATCTCAAAATGTTTGCTGAACATTATTATAGTTTTAGCAGATATCAATATCAGACGTCTCCAACATCACCCACCTGTGAACACCAGATAAACCACACCAATCTTTAGCAGACACTTCAAACTTGACAGTTTTATCTTTCAATATAAGTCCCTACGTCAAGTGTGGGAGGCCCTTGTTTCCCCACAACCAGAAGTGCCCAGCCCAGTGTCCCTGGTCTTACTGTTCTCATCAGTAGCAGGCAATGTGACTTTGTACACATACAGTGAGAGAGAGAGAGATGATTCAGAGCTCCAATTACCATCTAACATACAAATATATTCAGTGCAGTCAATCTCTCCTTCTTGTTACCACTGAGGATTCAGAGCTAGATGGAAAGACAGGGATGATCATTAAGTTAATGGTCATCTCTCTCTGTCTCTAATTAAAGGACTGCCCAAATTAGCCATTCTGTATAATATACCTGTATAAATATATACCAGGTCAGTTTATCTCTCTCTGCCTGCTGACTCCACAGAGAGAGGGACGGCCAGAGACAACGTGACTCACAAATGACCACTTGTCACCAGGGTCAGTGAGGGTAGTGGACATAAAAAGGGGGGGGGGGGAGCAGGGGGATACTGGGTGACAGCTAAGGTGACTCATATTTGGTGACACCAGAGACAGTTGACAATGTCACCAAAAGTGATACTAAAATGCAATATTCATACTGGTATCTTCTCTCTCCTCTCCTCAAGTAGACATGAGAGTGTCATTCAATGAAAAAGTTGGACAATATGGCTGGGGGACCAGGGGCCACCTAGGTTCGTGATATTAAATTTTTGGCTTCCCCAAAATTGGAAATTTGCCAATAGTTGCTGCTTAAGATGACAAATATTTTGCGTATTACAATGACACCAAAAACAAATGAGAAAGAGAGAGAGAAAGAGAAAGCAAGAGATCTTTTTTTGAGTTGTGACACTTTGAAGTTAAATGGAAAGAACAGTCTCAGTAGGATGCAAAGAGAAGGGCATCACCAAACCCAGAATACATCTCTTACTATACACGCACATTTTCTGCTCACTTAACTGTAAAAATGCCCTCACATAATACACATTCTACATTCCTTAACATATCTACAGATCTAAACCAGTGCCCCAGCAAAAAAAAAAAAAAACTAAATGTGTAACTTCATCAGTGTAATATCCCTCCATCATGCAATCTGTCCAGCTGTGGTCAGTGACTCGGGACAAAATGCTGACCAGCATGGACAAAACTGTGGTAAAGCCGCATTTCCATTAAAGCTGGGCCAGCCTAGCTTTACCAGACTCATCTCAGATGATTTTGTTCAGCTCATCTCTCAGCAGCAACCCAAACCCCTTTGATATCCTATCCATCCATTATGAAATTGAATTTAGTCCTGTACCTTCAAATAAACTTCCATGTTGCACCAAATTGACAAGAAACGCATCTTTAGACCTAAAATCAGAAGAGGGATGCATTTCCAATTAGGTTGAGATGGGTAAATTTAGAGTATATATTATCTCAGCAGACAGTGTGATTATGGTATTTTGCCATAAGATACCAACATAATGGGACCTAGCATAGTGTAGTAGCTATAATAATAATAATTATAATAATAATAATAATAATAATTTATTTAATAATAATAATTTATTTGCTATAATTGCAACCCAAAGGTTGAAGTTTTACAATGTATCATAAAATCATAAGGTATTTAAAAGTAACTAAAAACTATAAACTAAAAGACCAAAGCTTTAAAAAGACCAGAGCTTTAAAAACTACACTGGAGAAGACTGGAAGACAGAAGGATTGGGCGTACTATCTGTGATTAGAAACTACATTCACAAGCCTCACTTAACCTGTCACAATTTGACTAGAAGTGTGCCTTAAAATGAATCATTAGACACAATTTTGTATTTTAACTGATGGGCTTTCAATAAAATGACAGGCTAATTTGTTTCTAAGCTTTCATCTTGCAAGGAACACACAGAGAATTGATGTCATCTATCTTATCTTTTGCCTATAAACTTCACAATGAACATGCAACATATATCTTACTATAGAATACAAATTTTTTTTTTCCTTTTTTTTTCATTTTATTTTTTCAGGTACAGGCCTGGGAATTGCTGATGTCAACTGCCTTATCTTCTGACTACACTAGTAAACACAATAATAAATATTAATCTCTTACTATAGAATACAAACATTAATTTTTTCAGTATTTTTCCAGGCACCACAATCTGTTGTAATCCCGTGTAATGACAGAGGTGTGTTTTTACTGCCACTGAATCATGGCAGTTGTTTTGCAATCCTCAAACAGAGAGGGTCTTCAACACTCTGATTCACCTCTATTAGGGTGGCAAGCTGCACTATGCTGTCCCTGGTGCTTAAATAATTCCAAAGTTTTATTTCTTTTTTTGATAAATTTGTTTTCTCTTTCTTGCCCTAATTTAAACTTTGGATCCTAGCATATATTTTTTCCATATCGTAGTGCAGATATTTTAATTGGTTTGATACGCTTACACCTTTATGAAAATTAACTACGATAACCAACCCGTTAATAACAACCTTGACCCATCGGTCACTCCAAATGACCATTACCACTGACAAATTCAACCCAATTAGACAAATCCCTTTGTCTTTTCGTCACAAGATGACCAGTAAACATGGGCGTGATATACATATTACATAGCACATGAAGTAAACAACGATATTTTAATATCTTGACCACTTCGGTCAGACCACACACTGGACAGGGCGGTCATTGTTAAAACTGGACGGGTAATGATGATTGCCACCTGTCCACATACCAAAATATGGTCCGATTTTTGTTGTCCCACTTCTCTAGGCCAAGGTTTGCCATCGTGTTTTTTTTTTCAATCAAAATAAATCATTTTCACCATTAAGTATTGTTACCATGATTTTATACAATTATTAAATCCCTCAGACCCTCAATTCCACAAAGCAGTTATGAATGTCAATTAAAGTTAATTAGGATATTTCCTTTGAATTTATTTAACTTTCATAACTTAATTTCCCACAAATATATAAATGATCACATTTTTTCAGTCAAATTCTAGTCTGTCTTATATATACAGTCTTAAAAATTTTAGGTCAAACACATTATCACATTTAAAAAAAAATAATAATAATAAATGACAGCATAAATATAAAGAAATGATGGCATGTATACCAGTTAAGCATGTATCCTACAATGCTATTTAATCTACGTCATACTTCTGAGTTCACTAACCTTCTGCCATACAATCCAGTGTATCCGGAAACAATACCAGGTGTCACAAAGTCCAGGATTACCAAGATTTCAAAAAATATTAGTAAACAAACATAAAGTGGAAACACCTTAAGAAATGACCGCGTGTCTCTCCACCACGGCTCGCTGCAGCCAAGCCTCAATAGATCAATGTTGTGTTTTTCTCCCGTTGTTGGACGCAGAGATAAGACGGACTGATAAAATCTGCCCCTTTTTATTAATACACTACCCAGTCACAGACAGTCTACTATATACCATACCGTATTACACCGTGACTGTCAGTGCCTCTACTGATATCACTGGTTTCAAGTATAATTTTTCATAAATTCAATTTTTCAATTATGTTCAAGAAAATGAGTTCTTTGTGGTGCAATAATTCAGTGCTGATAAATTACATTTTTCTCTTTTTTTCCCCCTTTTTAACTTCTTTGTGATTTGTTTCTGAAAAATAAATTTTGACCACACCCCTGGTGCCACGTTCTATTAGTACTTACTATGAGTCATAAACTTGGAAACTTCAAAGTCATTATTTTTTGTGTGTGTTTTGAAAATGATACAGAATTAATTCCCTAGGTGTATTGATGTCTCACCTGTTTTAGGGAAGATTTAAACTTTTAAGGTGGTTGGAAGAGAGAAGGAGTGCTGGCTACGGATACAAATCCCCTCCTTTTGAAAGATTGATAATATGATCTTTTATAAAACTGTTTGAGATGTCCTAGGATTCATTGATAATTTTGGGAATAAGGTAGTTACCCCCCCCCCCCTCCATACCATACAGACACCCTCCATCTGTATGATTCTGGATCCCCAAGCAACTCTTTAAATCCCCATGACACAGGCCTTAATCAGATCCCCCCCCCAAAAAAAAAAAAAAAAAATAATAAATAAAATAAAATAAAATAAAATAAAATAAATAAATAAATAAATTAAATAAAATAAGATAAAATGAGTGACATTTATAGCTTTTTTTTTTTACCTTTTACAGAAATTCATGAGATCTAAAGAAAACTGAAATTATTTTTTACTAAAGTGAAACCACTGCGATCAGGCTACACTTAATACCCTAAGTCTCTAACACATAACAGTATGAGACTGCAGCGTAATTTGTGCTGACTGTGTTGTCACACTGATACGCAGAGCCCGAGGTGTGTGTGTGTGTGTCACCACAGCCTGGACTACAACACAGAGACATGTCACAGATATGATCATATTTCTAATATAATCACATGCTGTGTGGGTGGGGCCACACATATCACAGTGCCAAGGTGAGGTTGCACTGTAATTCACTTCTGAAATTACTCATCTAAAAATGTACATTTTTTTTTACTCTGGGATATTGTGTGAACTGTTCGGCTGGATTAAGTCATTTTTTCTGCTTATTGTCCAAAAAAAAAAAAAAAAAAAAAAAAAAAAAAAGGATAATTCCATTGATTCACGTGAGAATTCAGCAAGACAATACACTCCCTCCACCATCCCCCCCCAACTCCTCATCCAGCTGTAAAGCTAAAAGAGTAGACATTCTTTTAGATATGAAAAGACTTGATGTTATAAACATACTTACAAGTGGAGTGGAGTCTGTGAAGGTCACAGGTGTGTACTAGAGATATGACTGGATACCATCCAAGAGCACTTTACTGCTAAAAACACTTCTTAGATCATGACACCAACAAATAAGTTTTCACATGGATGCAGAGAGAGAGAGAGAGAGAGAGAGAGAGAGAGAGAGAGAGAGAGAGAGAGAGAGAGAGAGAGAGAGAGAGAAGGGATAAGGGAGAAAACACCCTATTATCCTATTATCTATTTGTTCAATGTTGTGATACTCATCTCTGGCACAAAAGGATTAAACATATCAACTGATTCCAGTGACACCAAAAATAAAGTCACAGTGACTTGTCACACTGGATAAAATAAATTGCTTCTGGCTCAAGTCAAGCAAATTATATGGTCAAACTGGACTTCAAAAACAAAACTGACAGCAAAATGAAGTGACCACAGGCAAAACACTGACCCTTTGTTTGGACACGTGGCAAACATGGACAGCTATGGTCACCTGTAATCACAAAATGAAACTGTATCTGGACGTCTGGACAGACATTAATACTGCATCTCTCTCTCACCCTGGATAATTTTCTGTCAAGTTGATAAATGTTGGTGGTGGACACAGACCGTGAATGAATCAGCTGCTGCCCTGGAGGACTTCACATAAAACCTCATCAATGTATCAAATGACCATTTACCTGCAGCCAGGTTGTATTAATGACAGGTGGTTGTTGGATTCAAAGCAAAATATGGTCCTTACTGACAAGATGATTTCTTCTTACTAGTAATGGATTTTTGTTTTCTTTACAAAACTGTGTTTCAGAAGAAAAACGTGGGACCACTGTGGTTAAAAAGGTCTCGTTTCAATGTACCTATTTATATTTTTCCTTATTTTTTTTTGCAAGTCACAGCCTTCCTTTGTGACTAATAAGAGTTAGAATTCATTAAAAATAAATTAATATATTTTACTTTGAAAACTGTGGTCAGTGGTGCCACACAGTGGGCAGATGTGGAAGCTAGTGGCTTGTGTTTATGGTTTATTTTACCTGTGAATAGTTGACCACAAGACGCAACCACGCATCAATTAACTGTTCAATTACATCCTGTGACATGGATGTTACTGCTTTGTGTTTGTGAGTGGATTCTCTTTTGTACTTCAGTGATGACAATAACTTTTTAGGTTAACTACTGAACTACATGCTTATTCACACACCCACTTTTTTTTAATTTACCTTTTTTTTAGAATTCATAGTTTGAATAATCAAACAAACAAATAAATGAATACAAAAAAAAAAAAACTAAATTAAAGGTAATACATAAATAAATAAATAAATAAATAAATAAATAAATATATATATATACATCCATTTATAAAAATATATATATATTTTATGTTACCCTCACATTTGGAAATATTATTTATTACTAATATATAGATCAACTTTGTCAATTTTTTTTTTCAAAACATCTTTCTTCTTCATTCATAAATGTTTATCATGTATCATAGTACTATATAAACTTATCTTATGTGTAGATGAACGTGCAAATGTGACTTATTAAGCTGAAATCTGTCCCTCTCCCATCTCTCTCTATACACCCAACACGTGCATGCACACTCACAAACATACGTGCACATGCACACACACACACACACTAGTTCAGCCCTAACAGAAAGCTCCTGAACTCCTCAATATTCCACATATGACAGCCTGATCAATACTGATATTAAGAATACCAGAGACATGAGAGGTAAAAGATTGCCTGTTTTCCCAAGTGGTTTACCCAATATCATTGCCATCAAGTGCTGGTCCAACACTTAAATGATAGCAATCAAAGCTTTATCATGAATCATAATAAAAAAGCTTAAACATAAAGAAGAAGAATCACCTTATTACGATGGCTTGCCGTCAACAAAGCCTTCCTTCCCCACACATCTTGAGATGTAAATGACCGCAAGTTCTTTTTTTTCCAACAATTATTCAGAACCAATGAGCAAAAATGTTCATTAGCTTGTTAGTTGGATCATAAATGAAAATGATCAAACATAAGCCAAAGTACTAGGTTGGCCGTGGGATAATATATTCAGAACAAATACTAAGCATGCAACCATGCATACACACAAAAGATGATTTAGAAATACACACACACACACAAACACACTAAAAATACCTTAAAATGAAGGGAGTAGTTTTATCTGCTGAAAAGTTTTAGACAGTTGTCAATTCCATAAAAACTAATATTTACATCTTTACACACAAGCTATTGTCCTTATTTTGTGCTATGACCATGACCATAAGTAAATATTCTCAAATTCTAAACGATAAGTTCACTTGACACATTTGCCTTAGAACTATACACCAAATGGGAAACCATGTTTCTGGTTCTCTGCAAGTTACCACACCTGTGTGACACCTGTGTGCTCAGAGAGCCATGGGGAACACTTTCATATTAATTCACTTTGAGAATATGGTTGTCAAGAAAGAAAACAGTCTGTTTCACTAGTATACACATTGTGTGCATCTATTTTCTATTACAAACCAAACTTTACATTAAATCCCACCCAGGATAAATTTAAATGTCACCTTAAAATCTGCACGACTCCTCCATCAAGCAGCCAATGTTTACTAAAGTGACTAAATTTTTTTCAGAAAATAAAATGTCATTGAGTAACTCACAGGTAAAGTGGAATTTCCCTAAGCATCAGGTGTAAGTAGCCGCCTCCAGCTGTAATCTGAGGATTTCCAGTTTCCTGCCAAAATCTGGGTCACCTCAGGTGAAGGTCATTTCAGGTGAAGGTCAACATTCCAATCAGGATCTCAGTGATAAAACCTGAAAAATAATTATTAAACATTAATTATATATTTAAAACAGGACGAACTTCTTTTTTTTAAATAGACACTGAAAAATAAGTTGGCTACATTCTGTAAAATTTATATATGTGACTGATGACATATATGAGGAACAGTTCAGAACATTTTTTTTTTTAGTTGAGACAGTTTAACTTGGCCAGTGATATCACAAGACATCTCACACCAAGTTATCATATATTTTCTAATGATAGGAATCTAACCGTCCTGATGTAACTTACATTTGGAGTTGACCATATCAATGATACTGGTCAATAAAAAAAGAGGAATTAGATTGAGAAATCACACACATGCACACATACATACAGACACACACACACACACACACACACACACACACACACACAAAGACATACATACTAGGTTGTACCAGTTGTACCATCACAACTGGAGTGGAAATGTGCCCTATAGAGGGCAGTAGTCTCCAGGGTCACTTTAACAGAAGAAAGATGGATGTAACATTTGAGCGTGCAACACACACTTTCCATCCACATATAATTACAGCACACACACCATTATTGCATTTTCAACCATTTTCAATAATACAAACATGTTCTCAGGCTATCAAGACCATCCTCTGATGTCTACAGGGGACTGGGTTGATGTCCCACGGGGATGTCTACCTAATACCATTATAGAAAGGTCAGCTGAGTTTATTTGACACCTCTTTTTGCATTGCTGGAGTGAAAACATCAATAAAGCACTTTATCTGTTTTTTTTAGTGGGAGGTTTTTAGAGCCTGTTCACAATGCACAAAATGGAATTGTGTTTTTATTGCTTTCCATTTCTAACATTATCAACCAATGGACAAATGCTTTTGGGATTAAAATGTTTATAATACAAACAGCATTTCAGTTTCAGGCTTAAGCATACAGGCTAATCTTTGATGCTTCAACTTTCTGAAGTTTTAGATACACTTTTTATTTTCAACAAAAACAATGAACCATTGAGAGAGAGAGAGAGAGAGAGAGAGAGAGAGAGAGAGAGAGATTTCACTGACCTAGCAAGAAAATCTACGACCTGGAACCAACAGGTCAATTTTAATAGTAATTTGAACACTACACACAATTCACAGAATATTGGATGCAATAGACCTTGCGATAGATGATAGCTGTCAGCATATGTGTCACAAATTCTTGAAAGCCACTGCTACTCCTGGAATAATTGGCTATCTCTTCCTCTTGGGAACTTGAGTGTTCTCTAGATGTGTGGTGCTTTGTATTCAGCACAAAGTGATCTCTGTATAACTGATATTCTCCACCCTCTGCTGCTTAAGTGCCTACTTCTGAAATACTCAGGACTGTAGTAGTTTTATATACAAGCTTTTTTAGGCACTTTTTATTTGGCACAAAGTAAGCTGTGTATATAAATATCCCCTGCCCTCCAGTGCTAAAAGCCCACTTTTGAAATGCTTATGTCTGAAGTGGTTTTATATATACACAGGAACTGATGACACATTATCACTATACTGTCTAGAATAATTATCACTGATTTAGGCTTCGTTCACATGCAATGTCTATTTTCTAAATTCTATTTTCTATTCTCGGTATGTCTTAGGCTTCATTCACATGCAATGTCTATTTTCTAAATTCTATTTTCTATTCGCGATATGTCTTATGATCACAGGCTGTGCCCTGAATATCCCGCGGCGTAATTACTGGCAGCGCGAGCCAGTTACTATAAGTTACTATAAGTAATACTGGCTCGCGCTGCCAGTAATTACGCGGCGGGATATTCAGGGCACAGACCGTGATCATAAGATAGCGCGAATAGAAAATAGAATTTAGAAAATAGACATTGCATGTGAACGAAGCCTAAGTCAGCTGTTATAGAAAAAAACTCTTAAGAGTCTATATCAACAGCTCATATTTTCATTATGGTAATGCAAGGACATTTCTATACCTCATACTCACTAATGTATTAGTGAAATTATTCTAATATATATTTTATCTTTCTGCTACATTTCACATCAAAACAGAGAGTGAAGATCGGGAGTCATGGCTTATCTCCCAGTTCTTTATTTAATTACACAGCAAATATATAGAAATGTTACACTCTCATAATAGAATAGGTGATCATTCCAAGGTACCTTTTCCCCTCCCTGCTTCATATAACATGATGGTAATGGCTTCCTACATCAATGGCTGCTAATACTCCTCTTATTAGACTTAGGCTCTATTCCCATAGATTGTAGATCGATCTATCCCCGCGGGGAGTCTCACCAGATTACTTTCAGATAATCCGACTTAAATGTCCGTCCCGCCTACTACAAGCTTTAAGGGGGTAATTAACTTTCGTGTCCGCCCGGCTGACAGCTATTTAGCGTGAACCCCCAGGGAGTTAGGTCGATCTAAAGTAGGTCGATCTAATCTNTTTTAATAGTAATTTGAACACTACACACAATTCACAGAATATTGGATGCAATAGACCTTGCGATAGATGATAGCTGTCAGCATACGTGTCACAAATTCTTGAAAGCCACTGCTACTCCTGGAATAATTGGCTATCTCTTCCTCTTGGGAACTTGAGTGTTCTCTAGATGTGTGGTGCTTTGTATTCAGCACAAAGTGATCTCTGTATAACTGATATTCTCCACCCTCTGCTGCTAAAGTGCCTACTTCTGAAATACTCAGGACTGTAGTAGTTTTATATACAAGCTTGTTTTAGGCACTTTTTATTTGGCACAAAGTAAGCTGTGTATATAAATATCCCTCGCCCTCCAGTGCTAAAAGCCCACTTTTGAAATGCTTATGTCTGAAGTGGTTTTATATATACACAGGAACTGATGACACATTATCACTATACTGTCTAGAATAATTATCACTGATTAAGAAGTCAGCTTTTATAGAAAAAAAACTCTTAAGAGTCTATATCAAAAGCTCATATTTTCATTATGGTAATGCAAGGACTGCATTTTTATACCTCATTCTCACTAATGTATTAGTGAAATTATTCTAATATATATTTTATCTTTCTGCTACATTTCACATCAAAACAGAGAGTGAAGATCGGGAGTCATGGCTTATCTCCCAGTTCTTTATTTAATTACACAGCAAAGATATAGAAATGTTACACTCTCATAATAGAATAGGTGATCATTCCATGGTACCATTTCCCCTCCCTGCTTCATATAACATGATGGTAATGGCTTCCTACATCTATGGCTGCTAATACTCCTCTTATTAGACTTACAATGTCAATGGTCATAATGACTATGACTGTCCTCATGTTATCAACAATACAGCACTCATAGGGCTGTTATCACCTTATGTGATAATGAAGTGATAAGTTGATAATGTTGTTCACACCTGGCACTTCATGCCCCATTGTCAGATGTCTGAGAGAGAGAGAGAGAGAGAGAGAGAGAGAGAGAGAGATCCATATTTGAGGTGGGGTAGAGGGAAATAAAAGAAAGACAGTCATTAAAAAAAAAAAAAAAAAAAAAAAAAAAAGCCTAGTTATCTGAGGTAATAGGTACATTATCACAGTACAAGAATAAAATATCTGCCTGAGCAGTTTCCCCTGTGTGAACTTTATGTGTAATGTCTTCAGGTAGTCCACAATAGGACCCCATTTCCAGAGATTAGATCGATCTACTTTAGATCAAGCTAACTCCCTGGGGGTTCACGCTAAATAGCTGTCAGCCGGGCAGACACGAAAGTTAATTACCCCCTTACAGCTTGTAGTAGGTGGGACGGACATTTAAGCCTGATAATCCAACAGTAATCTAGTGAGACTCCCCGCAGGGATAGATCGATCTAAAAGCTCTGGGAATACAGCTTAGGTTTCCTCTAGTACTAAGATCCCCCTCCTTTACACCATCTCCATGTTGACATATATGATCAACAGTTAAGAAGATTACACTACTGAACACTGTATCACTACTGGACACCAACTGCTGGATAGGAACATGCATGTCATGTGTGCAATGAAAGGTACTTTTTCATGCACGAATTCATATGCATGAAATACGTGCATGTGATCTTAACTTCATATGTATGCATGCATATACGTCCTTGTTTATTGAATCAGGACAAAAGCACCAACCATCTGCATGTGTGAGTGTCACCATGAAATGAAAGCCATCTATTAGCAATAAGTGATTTTTAAAATACACAGCTGATGTCCACTATATAACTGCCACTGGTGCTCCTGGGCCTCGTAACTCAAGCATTGCGCACTGCAAATAGCGATATCACACAGAGGCTACAATTTATTATATGGAACGAGTATGGGCAAGTTATGGAATCGAGACGCTTGCGCTTGGTCGCAACAAGCGATGAATTCAAGTTATGGGGCCCTGGTTAGCTATGCCACAATACCGAGTGTCTTCTCCTACAATATTATCAATATTACCTGACCATGAAATATCATGCTCTTCTGTCTTAGATATTCCTGTGAAAATTGATTATTTCAATTCTTCATTATGAGTTGAGCACTGCGTGTTGTGGTGCAGACCACAGTGTATTTTATGTCACATCTTATGAATGAAACTTAAAATTAATTCATGATAAACTGTGTCACCGAATGTGTGCATGTGTGTGTGTGTTTGAGTATGTGTGTGTGTGTGTGTGTGTGTTTGAGTATGTGTGTGTGCACCTGCATGCATGCCTGAAGGTTTGTCTTCAGATCCTTACACATTGAGTCACTTAACACATTAGCACAAATGCATGCATGCCCAACACACAGAGGAAGAGATTTTATCTTACACCCCATTCTCATAGATTAGATCGACCTACATTGGATCGACCTAACTCCCTGGGGGTTCACGCTAAATAGCTGTCAGCCGGGCGGACACGAAAGTTAATTATCCCTTAAAGCTTGTAGTAGGCGGGGACGGACACTTAAGGGGGATTATATGACAGTAATCTAGTGAGACTCCCCGCGGTGATAGATCGATCTAAAAGTTGTGAGAACAGAGCCTTAATCTATCCTTCTAACTAACCTAGCTAAAGGCATTGCCATGTCCTTGTGAAGAAACCATTACCACACTAATTGGAATGATCTTTGAAGGGACTTGATCTTTGTCTCAAGCCTTTATTTTCCCTAATTCACTCTTTTCAGACTTAACCTAATTTAGTGACACTAAAGAAGCTTGTAAACTGGTTAATCGCAATCTACAAGGAGCTTCAAACAGTTTTCAATAAACCTGACTGTCAAACTGGCATTCTCTAATACTTCACCAGATACAAATGAGACAACACTGACAGGAATATGCACTGGCTAATCATTATGTTCTTCTAATCTCACCACATTTTGCCTGTCTCTATATGAAGACCTGGGTATTGTGATATTAAGAATCCATGGATACTGAATAACAATCTATAGAGGCCAGTGTGTACATCATCAATCAGCTGTTGTTTATCTCTTACAATCTTATCCAAGTTAACCTGAGATGATAAAGCAAAGCCATGATCCTACTAACTTAATGACAGATTTTTAGAAGCATTATTATATCAAGACTTGATCTTAATTCTGAAACAATCTCTTTTATGTTGTAATCAGGTCAGAAAGAAGTCCCACTAGTACAATAGTTCCCTATAAGGGATTGAAGAACCATTATCCAACATGATCAAATTGCCTACCTCTTTACTTCAATCATATCTTTCTAATGGTCTTATCTTGCCTGATTTAAGGCGCAGCCCTACAGTATATGGACCTTAGATTTCAGGTGATCATTATCATTATCTCCAATGATCCCTTAGTCATTACGGCAACCCATACCAGCCATTATGTTAAACACTACCTGATAGTGAACCCAGTCAATCTAATGTGGAATGACCTACAGTTCACAGCCATTGAGATCCATACTTGCCCACAATCTATATTAAATCACCAAAATCAAACAAAATATTTTTTCTAAAACTCTGATATTAATTCAGAAACAGTCAATTCAAAGGCACAATGGATGGAAACACACTTGGTTTGTCATGTCCCTGAGTCAAATCAAGTATACTACTTAGTACTTAGCCTTTTAAGCCTTTGGCAAAAAAGGTTTACACGCATACTCGCACCCAGCAGCGTTGCCGCAAACCCATACTGTGAGTAAAGCCAGTGAAATGAACATGTAATCTAGTAATGACATTGCATGTGGGGAAAGTCAGAGTAAAAAGTATTTATATCACCTAGTCTGTGCCACCTGTGCGGAAGCTGTATTTACAGCGTCCAGGAAACAATTTGCAGAGCTTTTTTTTTTTCTTGGAAAAGAAAATAAAGAGGAAAGAATAAGGGGAAATATATATGTAACCTTTTGAACCTAAAGTTCCCATCAACATCGAGTTCTACTCTACTTTTCCAACAAATACACATCCTAAAATCACACTTAACACCACTCATCCTAACATAAGCAAAGTAAGAATTTTTTTGTCATATAAATTCTATAAACCAATGTGTGTACATGACAAGCATCTATCAATAAAATAAAAATAACAATTATACCATGCTAGTTTAAGCAAACAAGCTTGTGCTATCATAAAAATCTTTTTTTTAAATATATTTTTCATGTTGCAGTTATACAGGTTTTAATCAGCATAACAATAAGTGTTGGGGGTCTTTGATGCAATTTTAAAAAATCCTCAATTTTTCTTTAAAAGGAAAAAAGAAAAAAGTGCCTTAAAAATTACGTACTGGTATATGCACAATATTAAGTGAAAACACTCTGTGATCATCTGCATTGTATCCAAGCAGTAAAATTCCTCCCAGATACCTGATCTGGTCTCACATGATTTCACACATATATACTTACACCAGGTGTAAGTTATGCAATAATTCTCATTCAAGTCTCCCTATTCCAAAACTGCACTTCAGAAGCACATGCCAAACTTTCTCCAAGAAGGACTATTTACTTCAAGTTATTTCATCAAGATTAACGTATCGACTATTTTTTCTGGCAAAAGATTTAAAAGCATGCTGCTCTCTATAATGCATACAACCCTGATGCATTCACTGGACAACAGCTGTACCTCAGTAGTACAGAATTAACAGCAGTATAGCCACCAAGTGTTTCTTCTTTGCCTTAATGCTGTACAGTCAAAATGTTTGTTTTTCAATGCAAAACTATCCCTCACCTTCTGAAGTGTTCTTTGTCAACTCCAGGTAAATACTCTGCAATGCTAATCCTCCTCTTAAATATCCTTCTTGTCACCTCCAGTTCTGTAAGTCTACTCACGCTGGCACCACACTGCTAGACAACTACATTCCTTGCCACAGCGGGGAGCCACCCCACACCTGACCAAGATAAGCCTAGGGTTAGATTGATACAGACATCACTGATACCGAGGATCTCCTGGGGCGTGTTCACACTGGGAAGTTAGAACGATACATGATCCATATTTAGGCTGTAAATTAAGTCATTTGTACTGTGAAGATAACTAAGCCAATAGTCATACCAACTGTGAACAACTCCTTTCATCCGAGAATCTAAGAAAACCCTATCTGCCATATCACAAATTTATTACAAAATTTTCTAATTTAAAAGAAATTAGCTTTTGGGTTGCAGTTAGAGTACCAAAAAAGTCTCATTGTGAGACCGATTTAGTCTGTGTGAACATGCCACATGCTATTGCCTCCATTTAGGCAGATGGCACTGTAAAATATAGCATCAAACTGAACGGACATGATTTAATGAAGATAAAAGATGGCATGATTAATTTTCTCCTCTTCTCCACAAACTGGATGAGACAGCTTGAGTTAAAGATGCGTTTTTATAGCCTGAATGAGCATCTGAGAGCTACAGCAGGCAATGATAATATCATATTGGTATCAATGGAGATTGTTTTTCTATGAAACTATAAATGTTTCAATCTTACAACATAAATGACATGTTGATAAAACCAACTATTTTTTATTTTTCGATCATTTTAATCTTTACTGATTTCAGAAAAAATCCAAAACGAGGCAATTAATTCTAGTTGCGCGATTCAACCTTATATAATGTAATTCTCATACTTTACCCTATATGCTGGGTAGTAGACAAGGCAGCTGTTTTCTGGCCAATGATCCCAATCAGTAGAACCTTACAACCCCTGCCTGTCAATGTCAGCAGCACTGGATATATACTGCCTCACTGATCAGGATAGACAATTTAACTGTCAATAATAGGATGTTTTCTCCCTTACCCCTTCTCTCTCTCTCTTTCGCTCTCCTTCCTTCATTTCATCTAGCCAGCCATCTTCTTTCATGACATTTAAAATAACAAATGCATCCAAGATTCCTTCTAAGCTCTTTTGTGATTTATCCAACTCCAGACTACAATCACAGATATCAATCAGTGACTGAAAGTCTGTATTTTCTTTGACAAAGCCACCCTGTAGGGCTATCTTGCTGAGTGCCAGCAATCTGTTTATGTAGCATTATTATCAGTGCATATAAATTAAGCTCAGCATTATCAGAATCCTTGATCTTAATCACTGAGGAGGAAACTATTGTTATCAAAAGATACTGTAAATATTAACACCAGACTGGAGCATTTATTTGCCGATTATTCCTCTCCAAACAAAACATATTGGTTTAGGGGACTATCTGTTATTCTAGATTTATTCTTTTGTTACACATAAGACTAAGAATGATATTGACCTTTACATAATTTTGACAATACCTGATCTTATCTTGGCTACCTGAAATTGAATTATTTATCTTCTTTCTTTCCCAATTCTTTGTTGAGCTATTTCTTTTAAGCATCTCCATCTTTGTTAGTTTGGGACGACTCAGTTTCCAGCTGTGCGAAGCAGCTTCCCAATGTTTTATTACTTACTGGCAGAAAAAAAAAAGACCCAAGTCCTCGCTTTTTTTTTCTTGCTCAAAAACAGATGGATTCTATCCATCCATTTCCTTTCAAAATGTCTGGATATTACAAAAGAAAATACATCCATGAAGAGGTTTTATATGTTCAGTATGGGGCTTGTTAAATATAGAAAACCACTACTTTTATTTTCTGTCCTTGAATGCGATCAGCAGATTCAAAACAGGAACAAAATTTAATTGGTATCTGACAATCGGTTCTGATTTAATCAAATTCAGGCTACATTTGCTGGGAATTATCTTATTAACTTCCCTCTCCCTTCTAAACCCCCCCCCCCCCCCAATGAAAACAAATTATTCATCATCTTATATACAACTCACTATGACAACTTCACAATACAACACAATGTCATAAGACATTAAAGCAAATGATAAAAGGATCTAAATAAATAATTCAAATAATACACTATCAGATGAATTTATATTCAGACATCTTTATCTATTTTTCATCCCAGCCAAGGAAAAGCATTGCATGAGCAAATGTATCTTTGACCATCAAAACAATACAACTAGACAAACAATTAAAACCACCCTTGCAGCAAGAGGAGGAGTAAAAAAACCCATTAAACATCCTATCCTGCCCGCCTCCCAGATGACCCAGTCACTGGCAGGTTAATTAATCCGATTATTTGCCCATGGAAATTACTCTATTGTTTTCATCTTAATGATGGTTGTTGGTGTAATTAAATTCAGTCATTATGGTATCTTCCTTGGGGGTAAACGATGCAGCCTAGCAGTTAACTGGTCGGAAATGGAATGTAGGTTTCAGCTCGGATTTAAAATAGAAATGCAGGTTCCTAGGATCTGCTGTAAAAATATTAAAAAGCTAACGTTGCTCCTCACCTCTAGATTAAAGTTTAGTATTCATCAATTCATAATAGAACCCAAGACTATCCACTAGAATAAAGAAATCATTTGTCTAAAACACTAGCCATTTACTTTTTATTGTGGGAATAAGTGCAAAATGAAATTAAATTGAGCTCTCGAGTCTCATGCAGACAGCTCATATCATGGCGTAACCACCTTCAACACAGCTGCAGAAATCACTATAATTAGAATCAGAAATGAATTTGACACTTGGTGTACTTCACAATGACCACCATCATAAGGTCAGCTCTCAAATGAACCTTGAAAGAATCCACTATGGATTATATAAGGGTAATAAAGAGACATAACAGCACAGGCTACAGCAATAAATAAGACTTGCTTATTGATATATTGCTGTAAAATTCTTAACGGCACATGCTATAGCATAAGCTACAATGTACATGCATAAATGGGACTTTAAATTCATGTCATATATTATTATTAATATCAATATTGTTCTTTTTTTACAGGAAAAAATGGCCTCAAACAGCATTTGGGACGATAATTTTTATTAGGAAATTTGGAAAAATGTCTCTCTTGTTTGTCTTCAATCTCTCATCCTTGCCCCCTCCCCTCCTCTCTCTCTCTCCCCCCTCTCTCATCCCCTCCCCACTGTCTCTCTCCTCTCCCCATCTCTCCCTCTCTCTCTCTCTCTCTCTCTCTGGTGATGACAGCCCAGTACCATATGGCTGATGCCACAGTGTAAATATTACACCAACCCTGTCAAAATAACATGTTAATGTGTGACAGCTGTGTAATGATTCTGGTTCCATTTCATGTGATCTGGTCAACATTATCCACACCAGGAGAGTCTGGCTTTGGTTTATAACACCCACACTGACACTGAGATACTAGATACTTAGATAATTTAAAACAAAAAGGAAAGATGGAGGTAAGCATTGAGCTGATTCTTCAATTCACCAGCTACTAGTACGGAATAAAAAAAGAAATTCTTTTGTGGATCAAAATTACAACTATTTTCTCACAAAATGGAATGATAATTTTTAATCCAAGGTCAATCTCTGACCAGAAATTTAAAGAAGGAGCACTGTTAAAGCTATTTTTTGGTTGACCAGTTATTTCTTTGATTTATTCTTTAGCATGTCCACTTTATTTTAATCGATAAAGAAACTAGTATTACAGGGAATCTATGCCTGCTTCATTTCTACCATTAGATGCAATATTGTGCTTGTTTTTAACAAGAAAGTTGTTCTTTAACTTGTTCATAAATTTCTTTTATTTAACTACTGTACAATTATCCTGCACTGAAATCGACCAAATTTCTGTCTCCAAATCATTTGTGAAATTGCCTCTCAGAGCTGAACAGTAAAGGTTGCCAGACCCCTCGGAGTGTCTCTCCACATTTAATGCCGATAAAACTACATAAAACACATTTTATTCTTCAAAGGCTGAGGCTTGGCCATATCTGCCAATCACCAGAGCAGACACTCTGGTAATCAGCATCTCCTGAAAGGTCATCACTTATGATGGAGCAGAAGAAAAATAGTTTGGGACTTTTTTGTTTTTCTTTTTTATATATATTTCTTCAAGAAAATTAGAAATTATTTAGCAATGACAATTTTTAAGCCAAAGATCGAATATGATCAGAAATTTCATTCTTAACATAGGCCTCTTTAATGTACAAAATCACTGACTGATCCCCTCTACCCCCCCCCCCCAGCACACAGTTAACCCTTCCTATGTCTAGTCTGATAAAATACCACACATCCTTGCAGTCCACACCTCCATTTTCTAGACTCGACACCTGTCTCACTACCACTAACAAGAAATTTTCTTAAAATGTTTCACTTCCTCTTTCGAATTAGTGAACACGATCAAACAGGAGTGAAAGCATGGGAACAATTCCATCTGTTCCTTGAACTTTTTCTCCTCTGAAGAATAATTTCCATCCTGCCTTCATTCACCTGTTACTAAAGCTATTCTTGAAAACTTTTGCCACATGATACTTTAACCCAAACCTTGTTTTCATTCATCACAGCATCAGGTTGCTGAATGCAGGGCTGCAGTGCAAGCCAAATCATCAGAGTGACAGCATGAAAATGGATTCCATTATTTGATATTACAATTCCCAAGACTTTTAAAACACTCTACGTTTAACAAAAATTCAATCCCCCCCCACCCCCCATCGCTCCCACCAGGCCAACTCTTCCCAAGAATCCTCCATCTTCAACCTGGAGAAAGTTAAACCATTAGGCAATGATCTCAGAGGGACCCACTCACATCAACAATGTAATAGGTTCAGATTGCTGCCCAGTTTGCTCTGTAAATGTTATCATGTTTCCTATATCCACACAGATAGTATAGTGGAGAGAGAGAGAGAGAGAGAGGTGGTGTACTGGGCAACCCTGAGGGGAATGTGTGCAGGGGTGCATTCCCAGAGATTTAGATCGATCCATCCAGATCGACCTAACTCCCTGGGGGTTCACGCTAAATTGCAGTCAGTCGAGTGCGCACGACAATTAATTAGCCCCTTACAGCTTTTAGTAGGCGGGACAGATGCTTAAGCCGGCTAAGCTAACAGTAATCTAGTGAGACTCCCCATAAGGATAGATCAATCTAAAATCTGTGGGAATGGGGTCTAAGAGAGAGAGAGAGAGAGAGAGAGAGAGAGAGAGAGAGGGAGAGGATGGAAAGAGAGAGGGCTAGAGAGAAACAAAGAATGAAAAGTAAGACATATATGACTATAATGACACTTTCTCTGCCTCACTTGATATCTCACCTCTCCATTTCTCAACATAAACCAGCACATCTCCCATCAATCTCAGATACTACATGCTACATGCAGACTTGTGCGTTTTTGCTCAACAGCTGACCACTTATAATCATACTGACTTCTTACAGCAGCATAGAGTATTTACCTTCTCCAGGAAAGCCATGTTCAGACAGAACTATTTCAGATCGGCTAGAATATGACCAAACATGGGGCCAAATTAGGACCAATTAATAGAATGCCAAATATAGTCTGAAGTGAACACTGCTTCAGTCCTCTGTAGTACTCAAATCCACAAGCTGAATCAAACCCAATATGATTGCGAATAATCTTGACATAAAACTGCTAGTGTGGCTATAACAAACATATCTCCTCTTCAAACATCCGTATTAAACAGTCAGTTAAGAGACTCACGCCAGGTCTGAAGTGGTTGTTAAAGAAAAACAGAATACAGTCCTTGATTAATATGTATATAAAACACACACTTGAAATGGGGCTAAGAAAAAAATATTAAGTGCATGTTAAAGAGAAAACAGAAAAGTTGCACCTTTAACCAACATAGCACTGGCAGATGACTCACCTGGTCTAGGATATAGAACACCTGAGAGAGGAGAGGAGAGTCTGGTCTTGATACCCGACTGCCTCTAGGGAGTCTCGCTCATGAGGGAGAAAATCTGAAAAAGAGGCAAACGTGCTTTTACGACTCAAAGACAGAAAAAAAAAACATACAGTTTTGTAACAATGTTTAAATCACTACTAAATTGATTTTTAAGTTTTTTTTTTAGCACATCACAGAATGATGATAATATTTAAAACTAATTCTTTCTTTTTTTTTTTTAAT